GGATAGAACTTACTTCCAACCCGAATGATTTAGACGCAATAAAGAAAGCAATCTTGGCCGGATTCTTCCCGCATTCTGCAAAGTTACAAAAGAATGGATCCTACAGAAGAGTGAAAGAACCTCAGACAGTTTATGTACATCCTAACTCAGGCTTATTTGGGGCGTCACCCAGTAAGTGGTTGGTGTATCATGAACTAGTACTTACTACCAAGGAATATATGAGGCATACAACTGAAATGAAGCCTGAGTGGCTAATTGAAATAGCTCCTCATTACTACGAGCTTAAAGACATTGAAGATACTCGGCCAAAGAAAAAACAGAGAAGAAGCGAAAGAGCCTCGACGTCAAAGGTTGATACTAACAAAACTACCCCTGATCAACCCCACGATTAACAAGAAAGCAAAGAGGTAACAACCAAACTAAACTAGTCATTTCTCTTTACTGTTTCGGAACGAAGTTAAAACAATTGTGATACTATTACTTTTTCATCCATTTTCTCTGAAAGATTCTTATATGTTTAGTCATCATCAGTTTACTGACTACTGTTTATTTCCATCTTATAAACGCATGATTCTGAGTTTTCTCGAGTATTTACTGGAGACTATAGACAACTGATTAGAAAGACAGAAGAAAATCAAGAATTCAGAAGTGACAGAGAAACTCACAGTGATTGTCATCGGGGAAGAAGCCATGGAGAAACACATGGACATTTCTCTGGTGAGATTCATCAGGCCTTATTATAATCTTCATTATTTCCTCAAAAAAAATGTTTACAATTGACTGAAATAAAAACAAGGGATGAAGATGAAAAACATTACACCTACTTGCAGATATGTATCATTGGCTTGAAACAATACATATCATTGGCTTGCAATGAAAATAACCAACACTAATACCGTTAACACAAGACATGATTTATTTGCTATCAGCAATGTTTGTAGTTTCAAGACAAGTGTCGATAACCTCAGCAGCAGTTACTCGATGGAGAAGATTCTGGATGCTATCCACCCATGTCTGCTTATCAGCCTTGCTCTTGCACTTGAACTTTGTTAGACCTTTCCCTGTACTAATTCCGAAATAGAGCTCTTCTTCTGTGTTTTCCATTTCTTTTCCATTTTGCAGGCCTGAGACTTTCTCGCGTACATCATTTACAATGCCTGTAGTGATTCAACCACTGGATTATTGTAAAGCATTGGACAAAGTTTCAAGATCACTCTGGTTATACAAATGAACACCATGAACATTGAAAGAAAGAAGAGTAGCTTACTAACCTTTGCTTTTCATGGAGAATGCTCCTACAACATGTTTGCTTTTGATTTCTACTACGACCTGCAAAAAAGAAAACGAGCAAAAGTCAACTCTAGAATCCAACCAGCATATAGTTTTTTTGCTCCAATGAGTATTCGAACCTGAGATTTCTTGTTGATGTACACTTTTACATGCTTCCACCGCAGAACTCCTGGAAAGTCCTGTAAATATTTAAGATTTCAAGTAGGAAATGTTGAATGGATCATGATTAAGGATGGAGAGAAAAGATAGAAATGTATTGATTAAAGATGTGTATCACACAATGAGGAGGCACACACGTTTATATAGAGAACATAATCTAGGTCTGAGATGGGTTGTGCACAAAGACCAACAGCACCCTCATTCAGCCTTGTAACCCGAGTAACCCAAGTAACCTGTAACCCGAGTAACCCAAGTAACCTACATTTAACCCTGTAACCTGTAACCCGAGTAACCCGAGTAACCCAAGTGTTAAATGTCTTCTTGATTAACACTCCCCCTCAAGTTTATACTACAATACTCATTGTGTATAAACTTGGCACTCGCAAGAACAACCTCATTAAAAACCTAAGCTTGGAAAACCACGTGGGACAAAACCAAGCCTAGGGAAAAAGAGTATTGTCCCAACAAGTTGGAGAGTCTTTCTCAAGGATGTGTGAGGTCTACAAGACCAAGTTTACCATGGATAAATTGGCAAACTTGGTTACTTGCTGCCTTGGTGAAGATATCGGCCAATTGGTCCGAGCTTTTAGTGTAACAAGGGAGAATGGTACCATCTTCTACCTTCTCTCTTGTCTTGTGGCAGTCGGTCTCTATATGCTTCGTTCTCTCGTGAAACACTGAGTTTGTAGCAATATGGATCGCCGCTTGATTGTCACAATGAAAGGTGATTGGAGTCTTCTGCTCGATCCCAAAGTCCTTCAGCAAAGCCTTTAGCCATGTTAACTCGTTTGTGAGTTTCTTCATAGCCCTATACTCTGCTTCAGCACTCGAACAAGAGACCACTTTCTGCTTCTTCGACTTCCAAGTCACAAGATTCCCACCAATGAATGTACAAAAGCCAGTTGTTGATTGTCGTGTGTTGCGATCGCCATTGTAATCTGCATCACAATATCCAACAATTTCTGTGCTAGAGTTTCTTCCCATCCATATGCCTTTGCCAGGACTTCCTTTGATGTATCTCAGAATTCTCTCCACCAAGCTCCAATGATAAACAGTGGGCTCTTTCATGTGTTGAGCTACCTGATTCACAGCAAAAGACAAGTCCGGTCGAGTATATGTCAAGTATATAAGCTTACCAATGAGTCTTCGGTATTGTTCTGGGCAATGGTAAGGAGTGTCATCTTTCTCCCCCTTTCGATTGACCTTGTAACCTTGCTCCAATGGTGTATCAACTGGTTTAGCTCCAAGCTTCCCTGTAAGTTTTAGAAGATCAAGAGCATATTTCCTTTGTGAGAGAAACAGTCCCTCCTTGGATCTACACACCTCGATCCCTAAGAAATACTTCAACACACCCAAATCTTTAATATCAAAAGCCAAGTGTAAAGAAGACTTAATAGCTTGGATACCTTCTTTGTTACTGCCCGAGATAATCAAGTCATCAACATAGATCAACACTACTACGATTCCTTGATTATCTTGTTTAGTAAACAAAGTGTGATCCGAATGTGACCTTTTGAAGCCTTCTCTAAGCAAGGTTGAACTCAACTTGTGGTACCAAGCTCTTGGGGATTGTTTGAGGCCATATATAGCTTTTCGAAGTCTTAAAACCTTTCCCGGAGCCACTATGTCTTCTAAACCCGGAGGAGGTGTCATATAAACTTCTTCTTTCAACTCCCCCTGAAGGAAAGCATTCTTGACGTCCATTTGCCACAATTCCCAATCCAAGTTCACAGCCAAAGATAGAACAACTTTTACGGTGTGTTGCTTAGCTACCGGAGCAAAAGTTTCCCTATAATCCTCTCCATAGGTTTGAGTGAATCCTCTTGCAACCAATCTAGCCTTGTGTCTTTCAATTTCACCATTACTCTTATACTTTATGGTGAAAACCCACTTTGAGCTAACACATCTCTTCCCTTGTGGAAGTTCTTCTTCATCCCATGTATGATTCCGAATCATAGCTTGTACTTCATCATCCACAGCATTAGTCCATTCCTTTCTTTCCTTAGCTTCCTCATAGCTTTGTGGGATGAATTCCACATCTAGCTTACTAAGAAAAGCTTTATGTTCCTCGGGAAGAAGGTCAATCGAACATGTCGCTTGAATGGGGTGAGCAACAGCTTGACAATTGAAGAGAACCTTAGGCTTCTTTGCCCTTTTACTTCGTCTTGGGTTTTGTAACGTGTAGACCGGTTCATTTGTTGTTTGAGGAATTGAGTTAGTCTCTTCTTCGCTTGATGATCTAATGACTTCATCTTCACTTAGTGGACCGATCTCTTCTTCACTAGATTCTTCCTCTACAACATTCTCATGGTTACCATGCGACGACTCTATTGGTGTTTCAACTTCACTTTCTTGAGTCCCACTTGTAACTTCGCTTGGTATCTCTTCCGTAGTGTCTTGAGGTATGTTAACATTACCCAAATGCTCAAGAATGTGTTTAAGACTCTTTGCTCTATCCGAAGTTGAGTTAGGTAGGTCCTTTACACTCTCCCAATTCTTTTCTCCGAAATAGGCCTTATCTTCTATGAATTTCACATCTCTAGATACATAGTATCTATTGTTGGTTGGATCAAAGCATTTGTAGCCTCTTTGAGTAGTGGAGTATCCGATGAACACGCACTTGGTACTCTTGGGCTCTAGCTTATTCCTTAAGTCACCTGGAATGAATACAAAACAAACACAACCAAACACTCTCAAGTGCTCAATGTTAGGGTTTTGGTTATTCAATACTTGAAAAGGTGATTGATCATTAAGAACTCTAGTTGGAATTCTATTAATAAGATAACAAGCGGTCATAACCGCATCACCCCAAAACCTCTTAGGCATATGCTTATGAAATAGCATTGCTCGTGAGACCTCCATGAGGTGTCTATTCTTCCTTTCCGCAACACCATTTTGTTGAGGGTTGTATGGGCAGCTTGTTTGGTGTAAGATCCCACACTTTTCCAAATGGGCTTTGAGCTTGGTGCTCGTATATTCACCTCCATTATCTGTTCTAAGAATTTTGATCTTTGCATCAAAGTGATTAGTCACATAGTTTTGGAAGTTTAGAAATGCATCATAAACTCTGTCCTTAGATGGAAGCAAAGTTACCCAAGTATACTTAGATTTCTCATCTATGAATGTCACAAAGTATTTATGATTATCTCTAGATGCACAAGGTGAGGTCCAAACATCCGAATGCACAAGATCAAAACACTTCTCATAAATAGCATTAGACTTAGGGAAAACCGTTTTGCAATGTTTACCTAAGATGCATGCTTCACAATGAGAACAATCATAAGATAAACCGGGTAATAACAAGTTCAAAGCCCTAGAGTGTGGATGGCCAAGTCTATCATGCCACAATACAACTGAAGTCTTAACATTATTTGCGGAAATAGAAGAGTTTAAAGAAGTGTCTTCAAGAACATAGAGATCATCCTTGGTGCCTCCTTGTCCAAACACAGTACCGCTCTCAATATCCTGCAACTTAACATCATTAGGACTAAAGATAGCAAGACAATTTAAGTCCTTAGTTGTTTTCTTGACCGAGAGCAAGTTAGAAGTGAACTTAGGCATATAGAAAGCACTAGACTTCTTGTTAAACAAGTTTATGCAACCTATTCCTTCTATTGGAACATTATGACCATTTGCAACCTTAACATTACCTAGTGCCGGTTTAACATTCTCTAATAACCTAGGATTACTTATCATATGATGAGAAGCTCCGGAGTCTAACACTAATGAATTTGAATCATGAGAGTTAGAGGTAAAGAGAGAGATACCGCCGGGATGCATTTTGGATGCTATGGATTGAAGAAGAGCTTCAAGATCGGCCTTGTTCATGGTGATGGTTTCTTGAGCTTGAGAGGTAGAAGTGGTACATCCCTTGTCTTGAGCAGTAGCTCGCATTGCTTTCTCTTGATGTCCATATTGCACAATGGCCCTCTCTTCATTCTCAAGTAGTCCTCTATCACTTGTGTTTGCTACATTAGCTCTCGGCTTGGAGTTCTTGAACTTTTCCGGCTTCAAGTGAGGGTGTAGGATCCAACACTTGTCTTTGAGGTGACCCTTCTTCTTGCAATGATCACAAAACCAAGTCTTTTTATCATCTTGTTTCACCATCCCGACCTTGTTTGCCGTTGGAAGACTCTCTCCTTTGCTACCAAATAGACCTTGCGAACCATACTCCCTTTGTATCTTTGCACACACTTGTTCTAAGGTAGGGATCTTGTCATCTCTCAAGATGTGTTGGATCACATCCGTGTAGCTTGAATTAAGAGTCAACATCAACCCAAAGACAAGATCTTGTTCCCTACGCTCCTTAAGTGTCTTTGCATCCGTAGTGAATGGCCTTAGCATCTCTAATTCAGCAACAAGCGATCTATACTTCCCAAAGTGAGCATTAAAGTCGCTATCTTCTTGACTTAGTTCCCCTAGAGCCTTCTTAATCTCATAGATCCGAGTCAAATTTGATTCATTACCAAACACATTCGCGAGAGTATCCCAAAGCTCCTTGGATGTCTCACAATACGAATACCCTTCTAAGATAGAAGTTTCAAGGGAGCAATGCAAAGCACTAAGGACATTCAAGTCATCTTGCTTCCATGTGTCTTTGTCAATGCTTTCATCCAACTTCTTCAAGTCTTCAAAGGTTGATTCAATGTGCTTTATGAGCCTCCTACCGCCGAGCACATTAGTAGTTGTCCTCTTCCACAAGAGGTAGTTGTTCCCGTTTAGAATCACGGAGAACTTCAACTTCAAATCCTTGTAAGTATCACTCATTGTACAAACCAATTTAATAACCAGTCCAACGTAACCAACGTAATCCCACAACGGGACTTCCAACAAAAATCTCCACCGTTCAAATCCTAGATAAACGGGTCAGGAACAACACTGCAAAATTTCAGCTCAAACCGAGAAGAACTCACCGTTAGATCTTCCAAAGACTCACGATAACTGCTG